GAAGCCGGTTTGGTTTCCGCGAATTATGTAGCAATTGATGAGTTTAATAACGAACAACCAGAGCAATGGAAGGTGGTTTATAAGAATAAGATATATCCTAAGACTCCTTAATAAAAATTTTAATAAAATATATTTATTGATTTAAAAAGTTCATTTGTGCAATTTTTATTGTTGCTTACAATTATGATCATTAAGCGAAGCCATGAGATTAAACCATTCGATATTATTGAACATTTTAAGAATCTTTCGGTTGAATTTATGTGTTTTGCATTTTAGTTGGAGTTGCGTTTTATATATTCCGTCGATGCGTCAACATTGGTTGGCATTACCTTTTTTTAATCGTACTGAAATAATAAAAACTTGGAACTTGCAATTATAACCACATTTTATGAAAATAATAAATAGCGCAACTTTTGGTCCATTTATTAATTATTATTTTGAAAAATGAATTAGTCCAATAACTAAGTAAAAAATTTAGTTAATCAACCCTAAGTAGCTTATGTGAGCTTCTTGGCTTAAAGCAGTTTTAACCAGACTGTTATGCAGGGTTAACAATGTACGCTACACCTCTACCCTAATTAGCGTTGGAAAAGTCCTATTTTGTCCTGAATAATTTAAAAAAATTATCAATTTTAAAGATTAACTATTTTTAATAATTTTAAATACTTTCCTTAGATTTAATTTCTTGATAATATTTTCTTTAAATTTCAAATATCAATGGTTTATTTTTTAATAATTTCATTAAAATTCAATCGGTATTAGCGGTGCAAAATAAAATATAAATAGTTATAACAGATGTGTCTCGTTATATTGATTCTTTTAGTTTTGTTTTACTAATAATTAATGCATTTTTCTTTATTATTTCCACATTTATTTCTGTCTTTATTATTAATTCTTATTCATTACACCTTTGTTCGTTTTTACGACTAATATATTTTCATCTACAATTAATTAAATTAGCAAACTAACCCATGATAAATATGTTATCTTTTGTTCCAAGAACATCTTCGTAAGATTCACACGATTGGATAGATACTGTTCGTATAAAGTTAATAATTCGGGCAGGTAAAAATTTTATATTACGCTTTTTTTATTATTATTATTTTAGATTTAGTTATTATTTTTTAGATATACTAAAATATCAAAGAATTATTATTACCTTCTTAAAAAGATTTGTGGTTGCTGAATTTATTAATGGAAATTCCATCCTGCTTAATTTTAATAAAAATTGTTTAGAAAATTATCTTTACCATTTTTTATAAGTAATTATTGTTTGTAATTGCAATAACCAATAATCAAATAAAAAAAAGATATATCAAATGGGTACGAAACTTCATATGATCCGAACCATCACGTAAAGATTTAGAACAATTTTGGTGATAAATTTGATTCCTTCCTTCACATATACTCATGGTTACCATGAATTTGAAACGATATTTTTCACTTTCATCTAATGTCAACTCTCGGGAGTACTTTATATATGATGATATATGTACATAATTATCATATCAGTGTTTTGATTTTATAGCATTTTTATAATAAGCAATATGTTGGTTACATAACTTATTGATAATAAAGTATTTATTTCATAACAGACATATAAATTATTGTTGAAATCGAATTATGATTTTAGTTTACCATGCATATTTCTATTATGTAAACAAAACTTTAGATTAAAGTTACCACGTTCTGGTTTTGAATGCAACGTGTTGAAAGTCAGATTACTCATTCAACAATATGTGCGATGGGTATTTGGTATTACTAAAAGTATAAGCCTTTAAATATAAAAAGAGCGTTTAGGAATATTTATAATATCGATAAAAAAATATTTTAAAAAAATAATACATCATCCAAACATCCTTCCTAAGAAGCATCGCAAGATACTTTTTACGAGTGAATGCATGATAAAAGACAAACGTCATACTCCGTTGCTGATTGTATTTATATTTGCTCATTATAAGTCAATTAGGATGAACAAAGTGAATACTAAATGCTAATAAGAACTCATATACTAACCGTTAACATTCAATCTTTCACATTATAGTTGCCTGGCAAAACTCTCGGTTTCGACGCGGTCATTGGCAAACTATAATAAAACCTTATTGAAAAAACCGTCGAAACCCGTCAAAAGTCAAAACTATATTAACAAATCCGTCGAAATATAGGGTTTCGATTTTTGCCATTTGTTAAAAT